TGTGCAAGTTGCGCACGTTAAAGATCACTTGGTGGTCTAAAATCGATAAGAGTAGGCTTCGGCCGCCACCAGGGCAAAATTCAAAATTTCCTACCAACTGAAAATATAAGGTGTGTCCCGCGCACTCATATGACCTTATGCAATTGCGAGCGCCGTAAAACACTTTACAAAAACAAAAAAACAAAATACACACATACACACACTAGCACACACATGCAAACACATGCACACATACACACACACCAATACATACACATACACACACACACACACACACACACACACACACACACACTCACACACACACACTCACACACACACACTCACACACACACGCACATAACACACAATCAAGAACACAAGCCAACGCAATCAGAAGGTGTGTCTCTTAAAGATTTTCCCGTTCGTTTCTTTTTCTTCCAACCAAAATTAAATCCCCCATTCGTACAAACCGGTTCCAAACTCGTAGTTTTCTAGTTCTTTTGCCCAGAAACCCTCGCCCTGAAACCCTTTGAACTAGACGGTAGTGTTTGAACTGAGATCATGCAGAAGGACCACCCTTAGGTACACTTTTGCTGTTGTAACCGGCCGCGCGGGCACAGGACTCAAATTCTCAATCAGCTTCTGTGCTTGTGGGTCAAAGACAGCACTTACCAACCTTTTTTTACAGCCAACGGCTACTTTTGTTTCTCTAAAGAGACAAGAAAGTCCCTACCACCCACCTATATTAACGAACGTATAGTTGAACCTGCTTCAAGGGCCACCTTTTTAAGACAATAACATTTAGCCCCTACAAATGGCCACTTCCTATTACCTCCCTTGGGTACATTTTTCTTTACATCAAAATAACATTGTATAAAACGTCCACTTGTCTGAGACGGACACATTTCTCCTCGACAAGTTTGAGAGTTGCGACAGTATTTCCAAAATGGGACTTACTTAGTAATAATATAGTAATACCTGCCACTAAACCAAGTTGGTAATATCACCCTGATTGGCAAGCACTGGACAAGCGAAAGGGGATAAGACGTCTCTGTGTGTCCGTATGTCATGACAGCTGTGAAAATAACACGCCAAGACAATAAAGTAAAGGGCATCGACAGTGCGAATGTCCTTGAGCTGAACGGCCAAGCATGACGGGCAAACAGCGAGAGGCAAAACGAATTTCTAAAAGTCCCCCCTCCCTCTTTTTTCTCCAAAACACACACACACACACACACACACACACACACA